AGTGGCAGTGGGGTATGGATTAAAGACCAGGAGCAATTGGCTACAGCTGCAGTGGACTTCTATTAAAAACAATTCACAAATGAAGGTGATGCTTCTGAATTTTCCTTGCTCAATAATGTACCTTCAATGGTCATTATGGATCAGAATTTGGAACTTAGCAGATTGCCAACAATTGAAGAAGTGAGGGCAGGAGTTTTTGAGCTTAGTGGGGAGAGTGCTAGTGGTCATGATAGATTCACTGGCCTGTTTTATCAAACATGCTGGGATATTATTGGTGCTGATATACACAACATGGTGCTACACTTCTATGGAGGATTGGAGAGTTTTTTGCCATCTCTAATAACTCCTAATCAATCCGGATTTGTAAAGGGTAGGAGTATATTTGAGAACATCTTATTGACTAACGAAATTGTTAGTGACATAAGATTTAGGGGAAAGCCAGCTAATATGGTGATCAAGCTTGATATGGCTAAGGCCTATGATAGGGTTTCATGGAAATACTTATTGCATATGCTAAGGAAGATGGGATTTTCTGAACACTTCATCAACATGGTGTGGAACTTGATGTCAAATAACTGGTATTCAGTACTGGTGAATGGGCAGTCCTCAGGGTTCTTTAAGTCGACAAGGGGTGTTAAACAAGGGGATCCCCTATCTCCAGCATTGTTCATTCTGTCAGCTGAGGTACTTTCCAGGTCTTTGAATAAGCTCTTTGAAGACAAGTCATTTGTGGGATTTGGAATGCCTAAATGGTATGATTCTTTAAACCACTTGGTATATGCTGATGATACGATAATCTTTGCATCTTCTCATCCTCCCTCTTTGAGCAAGATTATGGCAGTGTTGGGGAAATATGAGAAGATATCAGGTCAGATGATCAACAAAGAGAAGAGTTCATACTACATGCATTCAAAGGTTGCTAATGGATTATTTCAGGCAGCTGGAGCTATTACAGGATTTGCAAGAGGTAAAATCCCCTTCACATATCTAGGGTGTCCTATTTTTTATACTAGAAGGAGGAAGGACTATTATGAGGATCTTATTAAGAATATGAAGGCTAAATTGCATTCATGGAAAGGAAAGTTGTTTTCATTTGGAGGAAAGGCAACACTCATCTCTAGTGTGTGTTGCAAAGTATGCCAGTTCACATGTTATCAGTCCTTGATCCACTAAACAGCATCCTGGGGCATCTACATAAGAGTTTTGCTAGGTTCTTTTGGAGCACAAAGGAAGAAGGGAGAAGCAGACACTGGGCTTCATGGCAAAATATTTGCCTTCCTAAAGAGGAAGGGGGCCTAGGTTTTAGTTCCTTAAATGATGTCTCAAGGGCACTGTTTGCTAAACTATGGTGGAGGTTTAGGACCACAAAATCTTTGTGGTCTAATTTCATGTGGAATAAGTATTGCAAGAAGGAGCTACCAATAGTGGTGAATTTTTGGGGAGGGTCTCATGTTTGGAGACAAATGCTGAATGCTAGGGAAGAAGTAGAACATGAGATCGTATGGGAATTGAAGAGTGGAACAACTAATATTTGGCATGAAAATTGGACTGGATTGGTTTTACTTTATCACGTATTACCTGAAGACTTTCCAATCAATGAAGATCTTTAGGAGGTAGCAGAACTGCGGCAAGGGGAAACATGGGATGATCAGCTGCTAGATCAAACTTTCAATGATGATATTGCAGAACATATAAGGCTAAATGTGCATTATAAAGGCAGTGAGGGATATTGGGATAGGCCATACTGGATGCCAACTCCTTCATGCAAGTTCAGTGTTAGCAGTGCTTGGCAAATATTAAGGCATAGGGCTGATCCTAATCAATAATTCAAGTTAATGTGGATTAAAGGTTTGCCATTCAAGATATCCTTCTTCTTGTGGAGATTGTGGAGGCAGAAAATAGCCACCGATGACATATGGAGGAGGCAAGGGCAAATGGTGATGTCTAGGTGTTGGTGTTGTTAGCAGCCCCAAGAGGAATCCATTGAGCATATATTTGTCACAAGTCCTACTGCCTCTAAGGTATGGAACTTGTTCATGGGGGCTGCTGGAATTTCTGTGCAATTGATTCAATTGAAGCAGATTATAAGGCATTGGTAGTATGCTCAGTGTTGTCCAAAATTAAAGTCATTATTTCAAGCAGTACCAACTATCATCACTTGGGAGCTTTGGAAGAGAAGAAATACAGGTAAACCTGGTGGTTCAGTGTCCATAAATAGGGTGATTCATAAGATAAATAGGACATTGCATCAAATGGCAAGGGTGAGATATGCTTGGATCCCTAATATTCCATTGTTATGGCCAGACATGATTCAATATTTTGAAGGATATAAACCTATATAGATCACTACAAGAGTAACATGGCAATTTCCTTTTCATGGTTGGTACAAATGTAATACTGATGGAGCTTTAAAGGGCAATCCTGGACCTAGCTCCCTAGGCTTTTGTGTGAGGGATGATGAAGGTGATGCGGTGTACGCTAGGGCAGTAGACATGGGAGTGACAACTAATGTGGTAGCTGAAGCTAAGGCTATTCTTCAAGGGTTGGAATATTGTGTGAAGCATGATCTTCACCCTCTCATATTGGAGACTGATTCATTGGTGATGAAGAAGGCGAAAGAAAGGGAATAGGATCCTCCTTGGGTAATTGCACAGGATGTGAAGAAAATTATAGAGATGAAGGACAACTTCAATGTGATCTTTCAACATGTGTTCAGAGAAGGCAACTCAGTGGCTGATTTTATAGCTAACATTATATTCTCTTTTGCAGGTACATCTGAGTTTCATTCATTCTCTAAAATTCCTAGTGCAGGAAGGAGGTTGATCAATATAGACAAATCTCAATCACCTAACCTTAGGGTTAGGATAGCAAAGAGAAGAACCCCAGACTGATGGCTTCACAAGATTGGACTCTGCACAAACCTACATGTTTCTTTGTCTCATTCAGTATGCTATTAAGGTACTTTCCAATGGTATTAGCATGTTCCCATGCTCATTCTGGGGGTGCTTTGATAGTGTACAGAAAAAATACGATAAGCAGGTTGGGGATGGTACAATTTATCCTACTTCTGATATGTCCAAATGCTAAGGAAAATGCTGAACCCGTCATATGGTATTTTTGGAGATTGTTGAATCATTTCTCAGTGGTATTAGCATGCTTTCATGCTCAGTCTGATGATGGTTTAGCAATTTTTAGAATGATGTCTACATTAACGGTTCTAGTAGGGAAGGATCTGTGCCTACAACATCACAAAAAGGCACAATTTCAAAGCCTGGCCTTTGCCTTGCAAAGCCTGCTTAAAGCCAGCTCATTCCTGGCTTTTGCCTTGCAAAGCCAGCCTAAAGCCAGCTCATGCCTGTCTTTTGCCTTGCAAATCCTGCCTAAAGCCAGCTCATGCCTGGCTTTTGCCTTGCAAAGCCTGCCTAAAGCCAGCTCATGCCTGGCTTTTGCCTTGCAAAGCCTGCCTAAAGCCAGCTCAAGCATGGCTTTTGCCCTGAAAAGCCTGCCTAAAGCCACCTCAAGCCTGGCTTTTGCCTTGCAAAGCCTGCCTAAAGCCACCTCAAGCCTGGCTTTTGCCTTGCAAAGCCTGCCTAAAGCCAGTTCAACCCTGGCTTTTACCTTGCAAAGCCTACCTAAAGCCAGGCTCCTCTTCTACATATTAATTTTGATGAGTGAGAACATGATTAATACTTGGACAAAATCAGTCTACTGCATATGTAGATCATATAGTAGCTACACTTGGAAGACTATGCTACCTTCAACTCTGTGGTGGAGATATTTGGAATTCATTTTAGCCTATGGATAGTATACCCTGGCACCTGGTAAGAGCTTGATAGGTGTTTCTTGGTATTTGCCAATGACAATTGGATTCACATAAACTAATAGGAGAAGGAAGCATTCAACTTATCATGTTGTAATAGCTAGTTCATTAGATTTTAGCGTTTCTATCTTTTTAATAGCTAGTAGCTTATTTCAACTTCTATTTTGGTTTGGACATCTTGTAAGCTTTGGACCCATTTTGGGATTTTCTTTATATATTAGCCACTAGGCAAGTGCTGCCGAGTGGTATAGTTAATTAAAAAAAAATAGTAGTGAGCGGGGGAGAAGGGATTCGGGGAAAGAGAAAGAACTAGGCGTGGGGGAAAAATCGGGGTGAGAGAGAGAGAGAGAACTGGGCGGGGAGGGATATTGGGATTTAGGGTGTGGCGGGTCAGGTTGGGTTTTAGAAGGTGGTGTTTTATTATTAGCTGGGGAGACGGGTTTTGGGTCGGGTTTAGGGGAAAAGGGTAGGGAACTTACCTGGGCGTCTTGAATGGTGCCTGGCGCTGAAGAGGGAGCTGAACTTTGTCCGTGTTGCTGCCCGGCGCCCAAGTGGGCGCTGAAATGCTATTTTTTTAAACTAAATTACAGCTAGATGAAAACAAGAAAACTAGGTTGCCTCCCAACAAGCGCTTGATTTAACGTCGTGGCACGACAAATTACAATATTACAATGGATTGCCTCCCACAAAGCGTCTGATTTAACGTCGTGACACGACTCAGGCTATCCCTTATCAAGGATCATTCAAGTGCTTGGTCGGGATCACTTTATCTTCCTCAACCATGCCTTGATAATGTTTTAACCTGTGCCCGTTAACTTAGAACTTGCGGGAGCCATCTTCTGATGCAATTTCTACGGCTTTGGCAGGATGCATCTCTACCACACGAAATGGTCCTGACCATCTTGACTTCAACTTGCCCGAAAACAACTTCAATCTCGAATTGTATAGTAATACAATGTCTCCATATTTAAATTTTCGCTCAAGCATATTTTTGTCATGCATCATCTTTATTCTCTCCTTATATAGCCTTGTACTCTCAAAAGCATGGTAATGGAACTCATCAATCTCATGCAACTCTATGACTCTGCTTGTACCCGCAACCTTCATATCGAGATTCAGTTGCCTCAATGCCCACAAGGCTCTATGTTCCAACTCTACGGGTAAGTGACACGTCTTTCCAAACACCAATTTATACGACGAGATGCCAATTTGTGTTTTGAAAGTGGTACGATAGGCCAGAGTGCATCATCTAACTTTATCGTCCAATCCGTTCTTGTAGCATTCACAGTCTTTGTCAAAACACTATTTATCTCTATGTTCGAAACCTCCGCTTGCCCACTCGTTTATGGGTGATATGGGGTGGCAACCTTGTGGCGAACACCATATTTTTCTAACAACTTTGCGAAGGCTCGGTTGTAGAAGTGAGTGCCTCCATCACTGATTATTGCCCTTGGAGGGCCAAACCTGGTGAATATATTCTTTATCAAAAAACCAATGACCCCCTTTGCATCATTTGTAGGGAGTGCAACAACTTCCATTTTGACACATAGCCCAGAGCTATAAGTATGTACTTGTTTCCATATGAGCTGACAAAAGGCCCTATGAAATTGATTCCCCATACATCAAATACTTCCATCTCCTAAATTTGGTTCATGGGCATCTCATGTCGGTGGAAAATATTCGCGGTCCGTTGGCATTCATCACAAGCTTTCACCCAAAAGTGTGAATCTTTGAACAATCTCGGCCAGGAAAAGCCCGACTCCAACACTTTCGCAACTGTCCTTACTCCCCCAAAATGGCCACCATATGGGGATGCGTGATAAGCTTGAAAAATAGAAGATTGGTCTATCTAGGAGATACATCTCCGGATCATGTTAACAACACAAATCTTGAATAGAAAAGGCTCATCCCAAAAGTACATGCGACAATCACGGAAGAACTTTTTCTTTTGTATAGAGGAAATGTCATATGGGACAATACCACTGCCAGGTAGTTTGTAATGTCAACATACCATGGCACTACCTCAAGGCTTGTGGCCAATAGTGGTTCATTCGGGAAAGTCTCCACAATCTCTTCCACCTCAACCTTCTTTTCTGCTCCTTCCAGCCTAGGCAAGTGATCATCTACTTGGTTTTCCGTTCCCTTTCGGTCACAGATTTCCAAATCAAATTCTTGCAGCAGTAGCACCCATCGAATCAGGTGTGGCTTTGACTTCTTCTTCTCAATTAGGTACCTGAGATCAGCATGGTTAGTATAAACAATTACCTTCGAGCCTTTCAGGTATGACCTGAATTTGTCAAATGCAAACACCACTGCTAGCATCTCCTTTTTGGTCACTGTGTAATTTAGTTGGGTACCACTCAATGTCCTACTTGCATAGTAGATTGGATACAGGACTTTACGTTTTCGCTGCCCAAGAACTACTCCCACAACATAGTCGCTTGCATCACACATCAGCTCAAAAGGTTGCTCCAGTCAGGTGCCACTATGATTGGTGCAGTCACCAGCCTCTTCTTCAACTTCTCAAAAGCTACCCTGCATTCTTACAAAATCACAAAGGGGTGATCGTTTTCAAGCAATTTACACAAAGGGTTAGCAATTTTAGAAAAAACTTTTATAAATCGCCTGTAGAAGCCGACCAAGGAAACTTCGTATGGTTTTGATGGAAGTGGGTGGAGAAAACTTCTCAATTACATCAACCTTATCACGGTCCACCTCAATGCCCTTACTTGACACTAGGTGTCCCAAGACTATACCTTCATGTACCATGAAATGACATTTTTTCCAATTCAGCACCATATTAGTCTCCATACACATCTTCAATACTTTTTTCAAATTCATAAGGCAATCATCGAAAGAGTTCCCCACCACTGAGAAGTCATCCATGAAAGCCTCCTTTATGTCCTCTACCATATCTGTGAAGATGGCCATCATGCACCTTTGGAATGTGGCGGGTGCATTGCATAGGCCAAACGACATTCTCCGAAAGGCATAGATGTCATACGGACAGGTGAACGACATTTTCTCTCTATCCTCTGGGGAAATAGAGATTTGGTTATACCCCGAGTATCCATCCATAAAGTAAAAATGAGGCCTCCCCGCCAATCTATCTAACATCTGAACAATGAATGGCAACAGAAAATAGTCTTTACGGGTGGCCTTGTTCAATCTTCTATAATCCATAGAGATTCTCCATCCCGTGACTGTTGTTGTTGAGATCAACTTGTTGTTCTCGTTTTGCACTACAGTCACTCCACCCTTCTTTGGCACACACTGAACTAGGCTGACCTAGTTATTGTTAGAGATGGGGAAGATGATTACCACATCTAACCACTTGATCACTGCTTTCTTCACCACTTCTTTTATGTTGGGGATCAGCCTTATTTAATGTTCTCTGGAAGGTTTATGCCCATCTTCTAGTGGAATCTTATGGATACAAAAAGTTGGGCTGATACCCTTTATGTCTGCAATGGTCCAACAAATTACAGTCTTGCGCTCCTTCAGAACTTGCAAAAGTTGTTCTACCTGCACATCTAACAAACCAGATGAGATAATAACAGGTAAGGTCGAGCTAGGACCCAAGAAAGCATACCTAAGGTGATACGGTAACGGTTTTAGCTCCAACTGTGATGGCTCTTCAATTGATGACTTAGCTGGAGGGATCTTTATTTCTTCAAAGTGTAAAGGCTTGAATTCGAGCTCTCTTTTCCAGTACCCTTGGCCTTCAAGGGACAAAACCCACTCAGCCAAGTCCTCACGATCTACCTCTTCTAAGTTCATGAGGCAGGCTGCTAGAGGGTCTTTTACGTT